CAGGAACTTCATAATGTGTAGGGATCACAACCAACAACTTAGAGATAAATTCTATGGACACCACCCCATCCCCCAGTTACTCTGACCTATTCTTCAAACAAAAAAAGTTGTTTAATTAAAGAATAATAATAAAGAATTAAAGAATAACCCATGCCTCATCTTGGAAAACCAGAATGATCAAGTTGCATCAATAGTTGCACATGTAATTTGATTTTTTGTATTGAGGCTTTGTTAAGTGTTATTACTGAACAGAACTCATCCCAAGACAGACCTTGCAGTACCCCACTTGTTACCCACCTTTAGGCAGAGCACAATCCTCAGACCCCAAGTATCTAACCAGTTTTTAGTCACCTAGTTGTTCTCCCATGCAGGCTGTAATATCCCAATTTGGACAGAATATTGTGAAAGATAGTCTTGAAAGCCTAAAGGCAAGCAGGTTGGTAGGGCATGATCAACACTTGGTAATTATGCAGACTGTTTCTGATGTCCATCTGTGTGTTGGGAGTTGCTTCATATGATTCAATACATCTATCAAATTTTACCACAGTGATATCAGTACCTTGGCACAGGGGGATGAATAGCTAAAGCCCAAATTAAGAACACTGAAATTTTTCCTTAACCCCTCACCAAATAAGTTACTTTATTTCTAAGTCCCCATGAGACACAGCCTTCTAAGCACCTTTCCAATCCAGGCCTGAAAGGAATGAACAACCTCTTAAAGCACATACTCTATGGCTGAGTTCATCAGCTAAAAACTGCAACTACAAGACATTATGCAACTACAAAATTACAGGCTAACTTTCTTGAATTGGAAAATCTAAGTCTTAATTTAAATGGACAGGTGAGTTTTTATGTATTTAAAGGCCAAAAAAAGGAATAAGCAGTAAGTTGTCCAAACCAAACCACCACCTCTCACTTGTGCACATCCACAATAGAGACCTTAGAGCAGGCAGCACTGCTTCTAGATTGTTATGACATTTACTGTATTCAATGATCAGCTTTTCCAAGAGACCTTTCAACAATAAATACTTTCCCCTGGAAGGAAACAACTGCTCTGAATGTTAAGTTAATCCTTTCAAGTTGCTATCCAACTACTTAAGCTTTAAATCTATGCACTGACAGTGCAGTATAACATTTTCATGTATTTTGAAGTTTGACTGCAAGAAAGCCTGTCTAGAGAAGGTAGGGAAAAAGGACCTGAAAACTACTTAGTTTATCTACAGAGGACATCTCCACAGCAAAAAAATATTTCTACTGAATATTTGTATTTACCAGTCATTTGTCTTGATTTAGTGTTCAGTGTTTCCTATGCTCAATTCATTATAGATCAAACAGTATCTTTAAGTTAGGCTTCAGTGCCTCTCCATGCTGTAGTACTTGGTTTTTCCCCCCCCATCTATGACATGAAGCATTTTTCCATGGCTTGACAGAGGTGTGTAAGTGTCCTGCCTGACCAGGGCTATGCAAGGGATAATTAAGACCATCATCCTTTCCACAGGCAGTCTTTATTTTGGATGTTCAACAGCCTGTTATTTCACTGCCTCTCTGTCCCTCCCCTGCTCTAAAGACTTTTTCATTTGATATGGGTAAATTGTAAAACTTTTTCAGGAGGAAATAAGTAAAAAACCAGCAAGCCAGGAACACATTAAGTTGGCTTCTGCACTTCAACAGAGCAGATCTCTTCAAGCACCTTCTTCCAGTCAGTGACAATACCAATCACTGTTGTGAGCCAGCTCAAAAGAGGAATACCAGTGTGTTTCTTCACAGGCATGCTGTAGCATATCTGCAAAAAGTACTGGCAGGCCTTCACTCACATCCAGGTTTATGGAGTGAAGGGTGCTTCTGTAGCTGTAAGCTTTTTCCCTTTATCATCCCATTTCTTCCAGCCTAAGTCCTTCTCTGTCCCTTTTCCCTAAGCTATCCATAGATAAATGGATCTTCACTGTTTCAGCAAAGATCTGATAAAAAAAGGTATGTCCACTAAATATGTAAGCAAATGCAAGTTGGGTTAGGAAAAGGGACACTGCAGCTATCTGTAGGGGAATGAGATACAAGAGGGAAAGAAGTGAATCATATGAGTAACTTCAACTTCCTTTTGTTAATGTTCCTCTGCTGGCATTGTAGATATTTTACATTACTGCTCAAAGGCAGATCAAACAGGAGACAAAAAAAAGAGTGTGGGAGCAGAGGGACAGTATTAAGAGAAATCTGAGTATTTGTACGGGAGAGAAAGGCAGTTTCAAACCTAGCTTTTGCACTCACACTGGCTAGCAGACACTGAACAGAAATAGGCAGTATTTAGAACCAGAGGGCTTTGCATTTAGCTGGGAAACAAAAATTGTGCCATTACCTTGAATACTAGTTCAATAACTAACAAAAGCCGTATTTATGTATCTATTAGCAGCAAGCTCTTCAAGAGGAATACAAATACAACTTAACAGTGAAAGCTGACCAAATTCTTTAAGGTCCCATTGCTCTGACAGCCCATGTGACTGCAGCAGAGGAGCTGAGACAAAGGTGGTATCTGAGAATTAATTTAGTGGCCACCAGCACAGCCACAGGCGGCTGCTGCAGGAGCGCTCAGTACAGCAATACCACCTTCATTAAGTGCCAAAACAGTCACATGGCAAAGCAATAAAACAGAGTCAAACACTTGCAGATGGCAGAAGAAAAAAAAATTGTTCAAAGATAGTAAGGCATTTGTCTATGCAAGTTGGATCTGCTTTTTACAGAAGGAATCCCTGACTACTCTCCAAGCCTGCTGTAGAAGTAAACAACGATTTCATATTACAAAAATGAAGAGGGGCAGGGCAGAATAAACCTAGTAAGATTAAGAGCCAAACAACATCTGCAACTAAGTACAGGCCATCTTATGCTACTGCCTGATACTCCCCACTCCTCCTTGCTATTTGAAGGCACATAAGTTTTATCTGGTAAAGTGTTAAGTCTCCTATAGACTACAGAAACTACTTTTGTGTGCCAAGGGGTACTATTCTGGCAAGTTTGTTCAGCACATTGGACTAAAGTCAGAAAACAAGTTCCCAGAGTCCACAGTTTCTGCAAGAACTCAGGTTCCCAAAATAGATTTAAGTTGCAACTTCAACAGAATGTTAACCTCAGGAAGAAATGTCTGTATGGGGCTATTTCATGTGTTAGCAAACAGAGCTGTTTATCTGTACAAAGACTAAAAAGGCAGAGCATTTTGTCTGTATTTAGCTGCCACGCAAATTTATAACAAACTGGCTGAGAACTATGTTTTAGGTTTTGTCACATTTCAACACAAATACTTTGTAGTATCCCGAGTTAGACATTTAACTGAAAAAAATTTGTATTCTGTCCAATAACTAATAAACCTTACATACTAGGCTGATATGAAAGGCACTTTATCCCAGAAAGCACTCAGCAAAATATAATATTCTTAGCCAGAAACTTTAAAGGTCTCCTTACATCCTAATCTTTGCAAGACATTTTAGTGCACATGCATTCCAGATACTGCAAATGTCTACAGACAGGCAAGAGTTGCCAGGGATAGCTGGCTAGAAGCTTCAACTCCCCAAAGAATAGTCAGCTTGCTAGAAACCACTTATTTTAAATCTGCCGAAGTTGGCAGCTGTCCTCATCTGTCAAGAAAGGAGTCCACAATACACAGGAGACAATTAAGAGAGCAGACCCCAGCTGTAACTGTATGAGAACAGACATTAGAACCAAGCCCAGGAACTGATCCAAGTTCTGACTCAATGATTTTTATTGTTACTATTTTAGAGACATGATTATTGAGAATGATTTAACAAGTCATCACTAAAACATAGCCAGGAGATTTTTGCTTCTTCCAAATTATGTCTTAGCCTTGAACCCGCATGCAATCAGGAGTAATTTCTTTGCCTTGAAGGGGGAAGTATTAGCAACAGTGAAATAGCACCTCCTGCGACAGTAGTTATGGAGTGACATAGGCTAAGATCCTGCAGTATCAGGGGAGAAACCCAGAAAAAGAAATTTGTCATTAAGAAAACTACTAATGGCTAGGGAAGCTACCTTCTATTCAGGTGGAGACTACCAAGTAGTTATGCCATAAAGATCACAAACTTCCTTGTCCTTTACTCTAAACTTGATCACAGAGCAAAATGCCTGAAGACCACAGAACCTGCAAGTTAGTTCAGCCTCAATGCTTCTCTATTGCATGAATGAACCAGAGGTGTACAGTGGATAAGGAACATACTTGGTGCTACTAAAATTAGCACTCAAGTAGTATGGTACTAAATAGTTATATAGATATGAATATCACCTTCTCAGCCCCAGAACAGTTGTAAAATTTATTTTTCACTCTGATGGTCACCCAAGAGAAAGCTACCACTTGAAGTGCTGGAGCCTATCTTAGAGCCATTACAATGAATTGAGTTCCCACAGAAAAGGGGACACTAGCTCACTGATGCTCATTGCAGGGAACTTCCGTTAACTACACATGGAATAACAGGGGCTTTTCAGAAGGAGCGGGCTGCCATGATCAGGGGCCAAGTCACAGCTCTGCTATTGCTTTGTACAGGTGTAGCAGCTACAAAGCTCTAACTTGTGCTGACACTGCCATGAGGAATAACTGCTAACAGCTTGACGCCACTGTAAGCTTGTGTCCTTTGCAAGGACTTTACACTTACCTGGCAGACAATGCTTTGACCTGTGTCCACACAACATCTCTGTCAATGCTACGTCTGAAGAGCTTGCAATAGTAGAGGAGTATTTTCAGTCACTATCAATCCTAACTTAGGAGTACAGCTGGACTCCTATGAAAGAAGACTCATTCAGTCCAGTATGCTGTATAGTGTTAGTCTCAAGTATAAGCCTCAGTCACGTGGCAGGTCAGTACAGTCTTAGCAGTCGGTGGTACCGCTGAAATAACTTAAATACTTCATGTTCTGGCTGGCAGTAGTAGTGCAGCCCACTGAAGTTTCCAACTTAGGAGATACTCCATTTTACTTCAATGCTAACATAATAATGGAAACCAATACTTTAAGTGCTTAATTATTTTTTATTTTTTCCCCCTCCTCTGCATTTAAGATTTACAGTGGTTTCTTAAAGAGCATTCATACCTGTATACCTCTAAGGAGATAACAGACAAGATTGTTTCAGTCATACATACAAAATTACTTACGCTTACAAATTTTTGGCAATCATAGTAACCCGTTTTTTCCTATTGCCATTGCCCCAATCATTGAAAAAGTGTACAATAATTTACATTTGAAGTATTTCAAAGTGCTTAATAGGGATTTTCCAAGAATAGTATTTACAGGTGGCCTATACACATATGTACAGGTGTTACAAGTTGTGGCTGGAATATGGCTTTCTATGGAAAGTGCTTTATATTTGGTCAGTGGTGTTACTGACTGACCAATCCAAGGGTTACTGATAAAATGGTAACCACTAAAAAGCTGAATTGTTGTGGACAGGTATTTACAGAGTTTGTTGTTAACCTGTATAAAATAGCTATTTACATAAGTGTTCCATACATACAGAAAGTATCTTCTCTCTTCCAAGAATGGAGGAAGTCTTTCAGCCACAAACCTGGTTACTATCCCCAAAGAGTGTAAAACACAAGTAAACCGGAAGTGATTGCTGATCCAGTGCTCACGCCATATCATCATCTGTGCTTACAACAGATATCTGTACAAAATAAGTGTAAGTTAGCTACAATTGTAACAATAAAGATATAAACCAATGCATATTATTACTACACAGCAGTTTGAATCAGGCTAGTTCTGCTGGCTAGTGACCACATTCAGCACTGATTTAACCTTGATTAAAAGGACAAGTTCTCAGCTGATTCAGCCCAGTGGTCTGGCTGCAGCCAGCAGCTTTCAGGAGCAGAGACCTGTCCTAAACTGAAGTCAGATACCATTTGGCAGTGCTTATGTCTACTCTGAGGATTAACCTTGAGCCTCATGACATGTCAATAGGTTTACTTACTGCAGGATAGGTGTGTCCTACTGAACTGCTGTGTCTACCAATATCGATTGTGAGGTCCTCTTCTGTAGTTTTCAGGTAGACAGGATTATCAAAATTCATGCTCTTCATGTTCTTGTGCTGCCAGTTATGCCACATGAAGTAGCCAGCCACTGCAGCCACCGCCAGCAATACTTTAGGGAGAGAAACAAATTGCAAGTATAGAGTCAAGTGAAGCTTCTAAGAGTGGCTTGTCCCACCACACAGGGTCCCAAAGGCTAGTGAATGCTGTACTCACAGACAGGAAGGGCAATCCAAGCTGCTGATGTTCCTCTACTTGCAGCTACTTCAGATGTACCATTGACATTGAATCCTGCACAAGAATTTGAAGTAGTAAGCTTGCTTACTAACAGGCCAGCAGACTGTCAGATGCAAGCACCTCCCAAGCCCAGAAACTGCTATCATATATTAGCTTCTCAGTAACACACTGCAATAACAGCCTAAGAGACTTCATCCTGTATTAGTAGAGACCTTTTTGTATTGTTTGCCTTCTGAGTACTCCTTGGATTTCTTGGAACCTATAGGTTCCACACTGTCATAAGTGAACTAATTCTGTTTATTAGATGCTCCACCTGTTGTACTTATACTACACACATGACCTGGCCTGTGTTCCCTACTTGCATGCAAAGGAGAAAACTTCAAATAGGCTAGTGGGTCAGTTTGCATTTAATTTCTCTAATGTTTAGCAGTCTGAGTTATTGGGACCAGTACCTCCAGGAACTAGTCCAACAGTTGGAGATTTTTCTGTTGTGCTGGTATCTTTAGCCTCAGTGTAAGCCACAGTTGTTCCAGTACCTGAAACTAATTATAGATCAAGAACCCAGTTAATCCTGAAGTGCTGCAATGGCTTAGCTATGAAAGCCATGGTAGTGAATGTTTAGCAGATGGCAGAATGATCATGCAGCTTGTTAGCTTTATTGGAAACACTGACATTAGTTATTTCACTAGCACACCCTCAGCTGAGGGGTTTTGATCAAAAATAATTTAAAGAACAAGGCTAGACTGTGAATCAGGCATGAATTACAGGTATTTAGAGTCATGACAACAGTAAGCCATCCCATCCCTCACTTCAGGTTTTCCAACTGAGATTTTAGTTCCACAAGTTTATTACTTAGTCTTTTAATACCTATAGCAACCCTTTAGAGCAGGCAGCTGAGGACAGTGTCCTTGCATTCAGTGCTATAACTACAGCAGTCAGAATCAACATGTGATATAGCAAGTGGCACCTTGGAATTTCTAGTTCCACTCCACTGGACAAACAAGCCTGCCATATAGTCAGTACTTAGGGTAGTAGCAGCACCATGCTTGTCTGGACCACAAAAGAAGGTCCAAACAGATTTCCTTGGCCAGCAAAATCAGCTTACGAGCTTTTCAACACTGTGCATTTATATGCTGTAGAGCCCTGTTAGTTTATACCCCTTGTTTTATAACAAAGGGGCTCTATATATTGTGCATGTGCTTGCTGTCTGCAGAAAACCATGGAGGGACAAGCTTTTATTGCAAATGATGATGATGCAGAAGCCAAGCATGGACTTTGAACAACACCTGCACACTTTGAGGGCCAGCTTAATGCATGCTAGAAGACCATCCCCTCCAAGAATAATTACATCAGAGTAACTCATGCAAAAGCTGTTGGCCTATACTGCCATACTTGCCTCCAACAGATTCAGTACCCCTACTCCCTCCCCATCTATCCTGGAAAAAAGTTTCAGTCACGGTACTGTACCTGCACATATCAGACCATCCTCCTGCAAGAAGTACCCAAGAGGACATGCACAGGTGTACTTTGGAGAGTGTTCATTTATCTGAGGAGCAGGCAGGCACAGGTAGCTACAGCCTCCATTTGCCATGTTCTCTTCACACCAGTTCCTGCCTGTTGGTACAACAGTTGGCAGGAGTGAGCCTTCATATTCCAGGTATATAGCACTACTATTTGCTCAATTGCTCTAGCAGAGTTACTTGTCTCTGCAGGTTATAGATATGTACCTACTCTGCCTAAGAAAGAGCACCTGCAGCTAGACCTTCTCTCAACCCCAGTGGGGATACCCATGTTAGAAGCTCCAAGCACTCCAAGTAGAAGTGGACATCTATACAGGGGAGGGATACCATTTGCTACCATCCAGGCAGGGCAGGCTTCTTAAAAGTATACACTGGCATAACTATAAATGCATTAGAGTTACCTGAAGGCTGAACAAGTTCATGGTACACAATGATATCCTGTGCATCATTGAGGTTGTTCACTAAGGTAACCAATTCAGCTCCAGTAAATTTGTTGGCGCCATAGACTGCCTCATTCTCTCCATCAATCCAGTACACACGGTCCTAGAAGACAGTTATGGTATCCCATTACACCTGTGTTATCAGCATCACAGTTACTAGTCATGTGCTAGCAAGAAGAGAATCTTTAACAATTACTACAGGAAGTCATTCTTACCTCAAATATTGTTAGAGCAAGAGGATGAGGAAGGAACATATGAGACTTCAGCACAATTCTACGGTCCTGGCCATTCAAGTCCACACTTGACAGTGTATGTAATTTAGAATCAAGCCAGTACAGACGGCTTTTTACAAGATCTAGGAGGAAAAACCCAAACATATTTACTATCTATACGGAGAAAACCACCAAAGCCTCCTGCAAAAGTTGAAACACCCACAGGTTCAAGAATAGTTCAGTGTTGCCCTAGTTTCTTGCCATACCAGGATACAGAAGGCTGCTGCAGTGTTACCTAATTGGTCTCAACTACAATAGAGCAGTGCAAGAAAAGCTACCATTTCAGTATCTGAGAAGTGCTATCTGTGCCTGTTGCAGTGTTTCCAGGCATGCAGGAGCTTCCAATTCTCAGAAGCTGAAAATAGTTCTCTGAAGGATGACCTTGGCTTTTGTAGCAAACAAATTGCTAAAGCTCCAGAATACCTCTGGCACAGAGACAAGTTCAACATACCTAGAGCAATTCCATTAGGCCATTGGATTTCTGTTGTCACAAGCTGCTGTCTGTCAAATCCAGTCAGTCCTGCTTTTTCAATTTTTGCTGGCTCACCCCAGTCTGACCAGTACATAAAGCTGTGAAGCAGAGTTTACGTTGTATGATGCACTATAGTACTCTGTAGTATCATTTTTAATTATGACCAATAACTAAGAAACACTACCTAAGTCAGTTATCAGCACATGGAGTAGTTGGTAGGTCCACTCTTAAGAGAGCCAGGACAAATACTCACCCAGAGAGAGGATCTACAGCAATAGCAGCTGGCTCTCTCAGCTCAGAGAGAAACAAAACCTTTCTTTTTGTGCCATCTAGGCTAGCCACTGAGATGGTCTTTGCAGCTGAGTCAGACCAGTAGATGTTCTTATAAACCCAGTCAACAGCAATTCCTGCAGGGCTGTGTACGTTGTCCAGGATTCTGATGTGTCTTCCAACTTTATCACGGGTATCAATAGAAGCACTGGAAGACAAGAATTACTTGCTTTCAACCCCTTCCTCCACAGATACTACCACTTAGCATGCCTCAGCAAATACTGCACACATCAGGCAGGCAATGTAGAAGATGCACTTGTGATTTTCCACAGAGTGCCTTTGGTACAATTGTAGCAGTGGTTACTAGGGATTGCAATAGGCATAGACATTGCTATTACTGGGAACTTGCGTCTACTGTACTTTGACTTTAGGACATCAAGAATCTAGTTCTCATCACTGAAGCCTAGAAAAGTATCTTGGGTACAGTGTGGGATGGTTTAGGGGAGCACACTAGGGTTCAGAAGCTGAGCCCATTTACCTGAAGATTGCTTTTTGGCTGAAGTCAGCCCAGTAAAGCTTTTGCTCAGCAATATCGGCATCTAGAGCTACAGAGTTTCTCAGCTGTTCTACTAGCTGAATGTACTCTTTCCTCTCAAGGCCAATCTTCCTGATATCCCGGCGGTTGGTGAAAATTAGACATGGTTCCTTCCCTGAGAAAAGATTGTAAGTGTTATCTGTACTTCTAGACATACAATCACATACTGTTATTTCATGACAAGTTTAAGAGTTATCATAGTATTTGCCATTCCACAGTAGCTAGTGGATGCTGACAGAGATCTTGGCTGTACCATATCTCATCCTTTTCTCCCTCCATAACTTGATGGGGAGGGTCCTCCTGCCCAGGGAGGAGACACAAGCAGTTTGTATCAGGCAGCTCTAAGTACTGTATCTTAGCAAAGTGTTATAGGAGTGTTCAGGTCTGTACAAGTTATATTGATAACAGTACAACAACTAGCATCAACACCACAATACCATTTAAAGTGGGGATATAGAAGTTTTATGCCAATACTCACCCACTGCCTTGCACACCCCAGTAGCAAGATCCATCTGATAGCCACGGCTACATTCACATTTGTAGCCCCCTTTCAGGTTGATACAGATTTGACTACAGATGCCAGGGTTCTGGCATTCATCAATATCTGTAAAGACAACAATTTAATTTGTTCTCATTTCCAATACCATCAGTAGGGTCCACATTAACCTAGTTGATACTTGCCTCCACAAGTTCTCTTGTCTATAAGCTCAAACCCAGCTGGACAGTCACATTCATAGCCAATAATGAGATCTCTGCAGATATGAGAGCATCCACCATTGTTCACCAGACATTCATTTATGTCTAGAAAAGAAGAACTGGTCACTTCTGAGACAGCACACATTTAGTCTTAAAGTCTTGGTCATGGAGTGCTTTACCAGAAACCATTGATTTTTCTAATGATGCCTGTCACATCTGATAAACCACTCTGGCACTTTAAGTGACATGAAAGAGACCCTCCTCAAATTCACATTTGCTTAGCTATCAGCATGTTACTTGTATTACAAGTTGACAGCAGCAGACAAGATTGAGGCTCCTGAAAGTTTCAGTTTCTAATGTCTTCAGGTGCCTTCTGGCCATGGAAAAGTCATCCCAATAGCCAGTTTGGCTAGGCTAAAACTAGCCTTTTAAGTAGGTCACTCTTGGTTTGTTGTTTACCACCAAGGAAGTGACAGCTCAGAGGCTGTATCCAAGTATGTCTAGTGGTCAGCATTGTGTAATGAGTCTGTTCACTTACTACACTCCTTGAGGGGCTCATCACTCCAGTCCTTGCAGTCTCTCTGCTGGTTACACACTTTATTGATATCTATGCATTCTCCACTTCTGCACTTAAATTTGCCAGGTCCAGAGCACTGGATAACTGAGATAATGAAGATTGTGAAGGCAACTACCAGCTTCAACAGATCTTCTGCAAAGACTTCATTCTTGCTTAGTTCCACACTTACCGTTGTTACAATTTGCTTCATCAGTACCATCCAAACAGTCTCTCACACCATTGCACTGCCTAGTCCCATGGACACAGTTCCCATCTTCACATCTGAACTGGTCTGGTCTGCAGGTCCGAGAAGCTGAGGACATAGCCATTACAGACTTAAACTCCTGAGGTTTGCTGAAGTAAAGAAAATAAAACAGGAGCCAAGCAGCACCTCCTAGAGAAGGACTAAGTTAACTTACGGCAATTAATTTCATCACTTCCATCCTTGCAGTCAGGATCTCCATCACAGCGCCACTTTTTGTGGATACATTCACCTGAGCCGCATTGCACCTCACTGGCAGAGCACTTCACAGGAGGTGCAGGCTGGCGGCCACATTGCTCTAAAGATTCATCTGAGTGGTCAGAGCAGTCAGCATCATCATCACACACCCAGCTGATGGGGATGCAAGTGGAGCTCTTGCACTGGAACTCATGAACACCACAGGTAGGAGGTGCACACTCCAGCTCATCACTGCCATCACTGCAGTCATCTTGACCATTGCAGACAAAGCTCTTGGAAATACACTGCCCACTGCTGCATGTGAATTCTGCTGGACTACAAGTCACATTGCCTGGAGTAACAGGAGTAAGAGAGATTAGATCATAACAAGAAGGCAGACTTTTGTATGAAGGTGTTTTGCTTTGCAGGTTCTTCATCAGCTGGTAGCTGACAGAAGGTCAGCATCCTGTATAAGGCTCTAGAAGAGCCTAACTGACCACCTACAGGACACTCAGGCCCCATACAGACTGTCCTCCTTGCCTTTGGATGTTATGAGAGGCATCAGTTTTGAGCTATGAGTGAAAATAACCTCCTTCTGAAGCAGCTACGCTGTTCTGCTTCAGCGTGTGAGCCTTTCAGAAAACAGGCTCAAACCCTGTGAACCAGAGACAGAAGGTAAGAGAATTGCTAACTCTAAAGTACAGACTAAGATTAAGGTAGCCAGATGGTCAGCATGCACTGTAGTTTGAAATTGAAGTGTTTTGTGCTGGTCCCCAGGACAGCAGTGGCCCATTTGCCTGGACCACTGGGGATAAGAGATCAAGATCTTGCACCAGTTGATTCTGTGGTATTAAGCACACCCACACAACTTACACCAGTACAAATTTGCTGGTTTAATAGTAGTGTAGCTAGCAGCTCAGTATGCCTAGGCTGATAGTTTTATCAGCTTCATTGGAAGTGCTCTCAGATTAAGGCATTTGCTTGCTGATTAAGGCAGCAGCTCCACAGACACATAGCAGAAGCCTGAAGATCTGTGTGTCACTAGCTCATCCAAGTAAGATGGCTCTGATGGAAGCTGGCCCTGTAGCTTTGGGTACAGCAGATTTGTCTCAGGACACCTCAGACAATTTGTATGTGTACAAGTTCATTAGAACAAGCCAGGAATGCTGCACTAATGCTGGCAATGGCAGCTTCACTTGCCTACTGGCCTGAAGTTGCCTCCCAACACCTGAAACTTAGCTTCCCTAGTCTGTACTTTCAGACAAGCATATAGAATACTCCAGGATAGGGCTACAAAGCAGATAAGCTGTGCCCTTGGCCACAAATCACTACTACATTTTAGGAGACCATTTGTTAATGTAAGCAGTAACTGGAGTTACCTGTTGAGAAACTCTGCAGAGAACAAGTTCTGGTGGCTTGCCTGACACATGACTAAGCCTATGGCTATTGCCAAAATTAGCCAGAGACCAAAGACAGATGTTGAATAGCTTATAATGCTGTAGTTCTTAGCAGGATAGAGGAGTGTTAGCACAAGCCCACTTTGTTAAGCAGGCTGCGATACAGGATGAACGTAGGTTTAAGGAGATATTGATGGTATGAGAAATTTATCTTCCCAGGTATACTGCCCAGCTAGCTCCTTTCCAGACAAGTCAATTTCAAATAGAGTTATGCAGCCACTGTTTCTTCCCTTACCACAATTCTCTTCATCTTCTCCACTGTCACAGTCTTTTTCACCATCACATTTCCAGGACACTGGGATACACTGGGTTGATTGAGGACCACAGCTGATTTCATTTACCCGGCATGTTCTCATATCTATTGAAAAAAGTTTAAGTTCAATTTAAGAGTTCTGAAATTTAAGAGCTACTGATCTTGGGTTTTAGCAGCTGTCCTGAAAGTTGAGACTGAAAGGCTTCAGCTCTGGACAAAGTTGTAGTTAATTAGACACCAGCATCCACCTAAGTTGATGGCTCCATCATGGAAGAGGTTACATTAGTTTGTAGCATTCAGTAAAAACGGTGCTTCTAGCTCCTAACAGATTAGTATTTTAAGAGTATCTTTGTAGTGGTAGTTTTGTAATTGCACACCAGTTACACTGCAGAAGCTTGAGCTATAACATGTAGTAGTAGGCAGGAGTAATGCCAAAGTGCAGTAGGACTTGGGGCTGAAGTATTCCTCAGTGTGGATCCTATTGATACAGAGAAATGATGCTTCACAGATCTATATTCCTTGATTAGTTACCACACTTAAGACTGGGGTTGCTAATTGTGAGACCTCACAACCAGGCCTCTGCACTTCTGCTTCCCACCCCCAAACATGTAGTCAGTCACTCAGTTCCTGCGCTAGCTCTGGTTATCTTTCAAAGCAGTTGACTTGGAGGACAGCGATCACTTGGTGAACAAGCCACAGTAATGGTCAGACCTGTGGTGTTGTGCTTGCTGCTTCTGACTGGCAGTAAAACCTTGTACTTGGTGTATGTTACCAGGTACAAGTGCAGAGTCCCCACTCAGTTCTGCATCTTTTTAAGCAGCAAAAAGTCTTGACAAGACCCTGATGTGGCCAAAGCCAAGCTAGCACTTAGGAAGGTGCTCTTCAAGACAACAAATTCATCCTTCCTTTAGGAGGAGAGCCAGGCTGCAAGCAGGCAAGAAGTCAAAACGTCACTCCCTGCAGGCCTGCCTGCACCGACAAGCCAGGCTCACTTACGGCACAGTTCAGCACTCTCGTCAGATCCATCCTCACAGTCCGGGTCCCCATCACACTGCCATCTGTTAGGCACACACTGACCACTGATGCACACAAAATCAGATTCAGCACATGTCTTCTTCACTGCAAGGGAGAAAGACAGCCACTTGTTTAGAGACCAGAGCTTAGCCTCTTTGTTGCAGCTAGAGATAAGCTGCCTTGCCCTAGGAAAGTGATGCAATATCCTTAGTTCTTGGATGTCTGATGTTGTCCTCCAGTCTAATGCAGTGCTGTTTAACACTTCCTAGAGAGTTACACTGTGCACAGAGACACATTTATCTTCCTGTAGGCAGGCACTGAAGGACTGCTACTGTTAAAGGAGACAATGCTACTAGAATAGCTGCTGCTTTGAACACACTTGAGTTAAAGTAAGGTCTATTGATATTAATATTCCAGTTTTGAACTCTTGAGTTTATTATCAAGGCATTTGATTTGTCATTACAGGAGCATGGTACTATGCAACCCTAAGGTAACAGTTTAGGTCTGCTTGAGCAGACCAGCAGTTCAACCACACCAGTGCTGGATATTGAGTTTGTTTTGCCTCCTCTAAGTATATCTAGTCATCCATCTTGGCCTTTGTCTGCTTAAAGCAATAGCTGGCAGCCAAAGCTAGACTTAGTGTTTACAGGAGACTCAGCAGAATCACTTTCACACTAAAATAGGGCATTTAACCATGGAATAAATGTGCTAATAGCAGTTTCTGCTATGTCTTCAAGTAACAACGGAGACTGGGCTTGCATTCTGTTCTTGACAGTCAGTCTCACAAATAAAGAGTTTTGGTCACGAGCTTTTTGCTCAGTCACCAATTCCAGGAGACTATCATAGCAGTCAGGAAAATAACTGCCTCAGATGGATACAAGGCATCAAGATAGTCCCCCAGTTGTTCTAGGGAATTCACCCTCTACTCTACATTCTGACTGTCAAAAGTGCTGGGTGCTATAAGCATCTCTCCAGCTATCCACTGTTAAGCCCCCACTGCCAACTAGCAAGTACTACTACAGAGGTATTATTTATTTGGATTACTTACCGCAAGCATTTTCATCACTGCCATCTGAACAGTCTTCATCACCATCACATTTCCATAGTAAAGGAATACAGCGTCCATTACCACATGAAAATTGGGATTCCTCACATGTTGCTCTTGCACCTTCAACAAAAAAAGAACCTGAGCCCAGATACTGTTTAGCAATACTTTCTTGATTCCCCCCACTGGTGATGAAGACATTACGCAGCATAATGTCTTGATAAATAAAGAGCGTAACATCAGCATAAAACCAGATCTAAGCTCCAAATCTTTGTAGCAGCCTTATTCAGTCATGAAAGTAGAGGCAGAAGCTTTCCTTTACAGTGCAAGTGCAGAGCTTAAGCACTGTGACAGTCCACCTGCCAGAGACAGTAAACCAGCCTCAGTGTCCTTCTTACTGAGTTTTCCTTTTCAAGGCAGGGTCAAGTTTTCAAGGCAGGGGGATGCATGCACACAGTTATTTCTGCTGTCTAGCACCTAGCACTGCATTCTCAAAACTCCAAACTTTAAGCAAACTGGGTTTAAACTTGACTGAAGTCAAGACAGATTAGCACTTCAGGATGCTATTGCTAACACATTAAAGTAGAATCCCCACGATGTCTGTAAAGATATCTGCTCTGTAGTTGAACAAAAGTTCTTAATGATTTAATTTACTCCTCAAACAAGGGCACCCAGAGACATTCCTTAGTATACACAAAAAGTATGATTACTTATCTGGATCTTTCTTAAAGATTGATCAAGTGTGATGCTAAGAGAGCAAGATAATTTATCACTTCCTTCTAGAATCAGTTGGGAGACAACAGACTTGATAACAGTCTCGATTTGTTGGTATGCTTGAGTAAGGTACTGCTTTCCACATGGTGCCTAGAGTTACAGTGCATTTTCCAGAGTATCTTCAGATTTAAACCTGTATGACCCAGTCCCCCAAGGGAACCTACTTTGCCTTGGTCATGTTATAACTGTCACTAAAAGCAGCAGCCTGCTTCAGCAGCTAAGCCAGAGCCATTCCATGTAATGCATGCAGGCAAGTGTGTAAGCTCACACACACATCAGCTGCACATGTCTACAGCATGATGCAAGACTCCTGCTCCTCCTCGGTTTATTGCATCATTTAGTGGATGTACTTTGTCTTGGCATTCCAGGGCTCAAAGAAGGCATCAAATTTTAGTAGAACTTTACTTGTTATTGTATCTTCTGTGTATGACATGCAAAGTGCAAGACAGTTTCCAAGTGGAAGAAGCTATTCAGCCATTTCACACTATATGGGCCAGCCATCAGGCACCAGGCAATGGCAAATCCTGGACAGAGTATGAGCAAGGACAACATGAGCAATTTTACCTGCTGAGCATCTCATGTAAATTCATGCTATAAGTAAAGGATTTGAAACAGCAGCTTATTGAGCTCTGCTATTGTTTTAGCAGTCTTACTGTTTGAGTAAAACACTAACTCACTCATCAGTAAAGCCATAACAACTTATTTCATAGGAACTGTGTTAAAAAGAGTGCCAAAAAACTGAACATCAGCTCTTGTGCTCTGTATTTCCATCCCTCCTTTCCTTTTCAGTATGGGAGTTACACCAGCATGAACTTTCTAATAGTGTGGTTTTGTAAAGTTACTACTATTTGATCAAGAGCTGTCAAACAAGTAGCTTGGCTTGTGCTTCAAGGCACACCCCAGGCAGCTTAGAGAGGGTGCAGAAGCCACTGCTATCAGCTTGCTCTAAGCCTCACATCACCTCATAGTCCAGTAACCCATAACAGAAGTAGCCTTCTGCTTGCCAGCCCTGGTCACACATTATTCCAGTTATTACTGTACTACCACCTAAAACATGCAACAACTGATTCCTGTTAGTTTTGAGACGTTCTCCTCCAGGCTTTCAAAGTGAGAACAGTCAACCTTTCCCAAAATAGCATACTAGAGATATTAGACTAAGCCTGCCACTCAGGATATCCCAAAATAACTCCACAGTCCATAGTTACTCTATTTCAAGCTAGAATAACCAGAAAAGGCTTGCTAAGACCGAGTACATTGTGACTTACAAACATCATTTTGACCAAATGCTACAGGGAATCTACAGAGCATGGAGTAACAGCTATAACTTTACAGTTACAATCCTTACAATGAGCCATTCCAGGAAGATATCACTGCTTCTGCAGCCAATACCAAGTGAAATGTCAGAGCAACTACTTTTGTTAGCCCACAAACAAGTGAAGAACTGACAGCACCTAACGCACACAGGTGCACAAAGGTAAAGGTCATCATCTGTTGCTGCTCCTGAAGATGTCTGTCAAACTCTAAAGGCCACTTGGAGTGAGCTCCAGTTAAAACAAAGGTTAGCTCCAGTCAGTAACTAACTGTGGTCCCCCATCTTATATCAAACACAGTTCTGCAATGCCAGGTAACCATTTAGTCATGACACTACCAGTCTAATCCACTGCTATTGAAGCGATAGAGTCATACCTCACTTGCAGCTTCAGTCACTAGACACTTAATGATTTTTAGATCAGTACCAACTAACTTAAAGCTTCTCTTCATGTGCTACCCATACACCAGAAGCCCCTTCACACCTCTTCTCCTTGGGATAAGGCTTAAGCAAACTATGTAGAGAACCAGTAACTTCACAGCCTGTGATCACTAACGCATATTATTTTACTGTTCCCCAGGTAACTACTTACTAGAAGTTGGCTCATAAGCAGCCATGTGTGCAGGGTGAAGGAACACAGTTACAATGACTACCCAAGTTAAACTAGCTTCCTCCATACCTCTGCTATCCCTGTTTGTCTCAGCCCCTTAAGCAAGTTGTCGGATTAGTTGTCTGGGCAGCCTCAAACATGTGACACTTGTGTGCTGTCATCTGACACCAAGTCCCAGAAAAGCTTGCAACAGTGATTGGGAAACCTTGAGGAAGTAGCTTAGACATCCCCCAGACCCTAGCAATTGCAAGCACTAGCAGGAGAGCTGGTCGGGCTGCAAACTCCAATTGAGGGAAGAATCAGACTAACTTGGTGGGCCAGAGTTGCCCTCCACCGCGTATCTCGTTATGATTCCTGACTACAGTGCGCTAGCAGTTTCAGTGCCAGTCAGCCTGGTCCTTCGTACTACAGCTGTTTAATCATGTCTGTTGTAAACTGGACACAGAAGCAATCTACATGACTAGGAACTGAGGAATGACTAGGCAGACATTTCCCCTCTTCCTCCTCGTATGAGGACTGTATACAACAACCCCAACCGGACTCTACCTGACAGATCTAGTACCTGAAATATACTGCACACAGTTAGGACTACAAGGTCCAACTACCTTTAAGCATACTTCGCCAACAAAGCCAAGATCTGACACTGAAGCCTACTTTAGGGCACTGGTCAGGAGATTAAGAGTCATATATCAATTGCCCACCTCCCACCTAGAAGAGTAGCCTGGACCTCAGTTCCTGAAAGGAGTCAGTCAATTGATAACTACCTCCACTCAAGAGAAAATATTTTTAATTGACCACCCAATTGGCTTACTGTGCAGGTCCCTCCACCGTGGGGGTAACAGCTTCTGCGCTGGGAGGCAACCCCTGGAGCTCGCCAAGGGCAGCGCTCCTACCGAGAGCCCGGCCCGCCAGAAGGGATCTGGCGTCGGCAAGACTCAACCTTGCCACCAGATGGAGATGCCTTATGGTGGTTACCATCGGCCCTGACTAGAGCCGTGCCAATGCTGCTGGATGCCACAAAGCCAAAGTTGCACAGCAGTTTGACAGTGCCTTTCACGCCGCAGGCTTTCCAAGGGCTCCTCTTCCTTCCTCCACGACAAAGCCCCAATCCTCCCCGCCACCCC